ACAACGGGGCTGTTTGGTCACAACCAAAGTTCTAGACTGCAAGCTGACGCACTCTCGGGCGCCCCACTGCCTTTTTTTTGCCACGATTCTAATGTGACTTGTGTACGGGTTATACACGGTCTTAAGAGGCGTTTGTTATACATAGGTGAGTGGCTGTGGTTCTTTTGTGGCTGCTAACGTAATGTCAGGCACTGGCTTTAGTGGCTCCACGATGGGCCCATCGCTGGAACTCTGTCCAACATAGTGCTCCTACTGTGGTATCGGAGCGGGTTGTATGTTATCTCCGTACCCCAGTTGTGAGAATAAAGTGTGACATTGTGGCCATTAAGCCGGCTTCAGGAGAGGTTCTGATAGAGTGCCGGCCGTGCTCTCATCCTCTTGGGTAGAACATACACATTTCGATCGAGAAGAAGACGAAGGATGCCGATCAAGCATACACATCCGAATACACCCGTTCCTGCATAGCAAACCTTGAAAACTGGTATTCTCAAGCCAAGACGACCTGATCAGTAGTTGTGCATACGGAGTAAGGGACCAGTTGTTTTCAGCCGGTTCCTTGCCTTGCCTTGTTTTATTTTATTTTTTTTCTTTTCTTTTCTTTTTCGCTTGTACGGGCAAAATATGCTCGAGTGTGCGTTAAGCTATTTCAGCCACTTCTCAAGCGCTCACCGAGTAGCCCGTGCATACACCGTAGCGAATCTTCAGAGATGCCTATCTTTCTCTCCCGGTCAAGTATTCATTGATCATACCACGTGATACCACACGTGCGGAATAGTATCTATAGAGTCTAGACTATGGATCTTGTAACTCCACGCTCTATTTTTATACCATCACAAAACCCGCAAGGAGTGTCTTGATACAGTTGCATTAAAATAGACTCTCGGCAGATCTAAAAAGAGGCCAAGTGAGACACTCGAAATAAAGGAAAACACTAGTTTATGTCAATATATACGAAGTCGTTCTAGTGTGGAGTTTATACTTTTTTCGCACGGATCAAGCCTCTGCAAGTTTGGGTTGTGTTAGCCAATTCTAGGGATAAAGGATTCCTCACTAGTGCTGATTCTGTTCTCAGGGTCCTCCTAGCAGAGAACAAAATCTATCTGGCCATGTTCATCCTGCAGAAGATAGGTATAGATTTCGTGAAGCACACCCTTACAGCCCGCAAAAAGGGTTGTTGAATGATGAGACGTATTGAAACCATCTCCCACCAGCTTCCACGCCTAAAAGCTGGACATCCGACTCTTGTCAAAAGAATAGAACATGCCAGATGGATTACCACCTCCAACCCATGGAACAACAGCATCGGGAAGCTTGCCAATAATACCCTCATCTGTTGTTGGTTTTTTTTCGCCAATCGCAGATTGAAAGATGCATACAATTGATGGGAAGGGGTGTGGTCCCAGCAACAGAACCAAGGGCATAATGTGTATTCTCGAGGTTTGTGATCCTTACCCGCAGAGCTTCATTGACTGCATCACGTAGGGTACAACTGCCAGTGTCACTGGTAACGGCTACCATCTCAGCACCAAGAAGTTTCATGCAGAACATGTTCAAGGCTTGCTGACGGACAGCCTCAGCACCTATATAAATAGTGTACTTTATTCCAAACTTCGCACAGGCAGTTGCAGTCGCAACTTCATATTAGCCCAACACCAGTTTCAGCAATGAGGCGAGTTTAATTCGGCTGTTGAGCCAGGAGGATCTGATGCAAGGCATTATTGATCTTGTAGCTTCTAGTATGGTTGAGATCTTCTCGTTTAATATAGATATTTACACTACCAATATGCTCAGTAAACTATTTGTAAAACAGCGAGGGCTAGGTTTACCGATATAAGAGTTGTAGGAATGATATTCTTCCCAAAAACTATGATCATGTTCTGCTTCTTCGAAGCCTCTGTCTAACTCGGCGAGACAGAGAGCTTCACATTCAGTGGCGCCTGCGTAATAGGGGACTAGTTGGTTATCACCGGCCAAAGCAAGTATTGAGTATCATGATAATCCATATGTGAGATTGTCCAGATATTTTTCAACGTAATCATTCACACTATCAAGCAAACAGGACAGACTATGTTGCCAAACTACGCGCATACTTTGTAGGCTTGTCTTCTATGCGAGACCAGGCCAGAGAGCACATGGTCCCTGGTATTCGAAAGCAGTGCCCTCATCATCAGCCATTGTTCACCATGAAAGCTTGCCATTTTCGGGGCATCGTGTTGAGTTTGAAGTTGGTGTATGGCCCAAATGAAAGTATGCATTGCGTGCAGAGAATTTGAAACGACGCGGTCTTTTAATCTGGATGTTTGATGTATTTATTATGAGAGTGTCCTGGTTTGGGAGTCATTCTAGGGGCTAGATCTCCTACCATGTATCTTCAATCTCTTTTATAGACCTAATATACAGCTTTGCCAGTCGAGAATACAAATTTGGAGTTTTGTAACTTGAATATTCTATCTTCTATGGTTTTGTCTTCTATGGCAACGTATACAAGGCATTCAAAGTACACTTGAAATACTAGTTTCACATGATTTCCATCCGAAGATAGCTACTTTTCACAACTACCAGCCTAGATTCTGCGACTTTACCTCTGGTCTACCATGGTACTTTCTCGCCGAGATAGTTGACAAATTGACCCGGTGAAGTTGACTTTTGTGCCCCCTTGACCTTGAGAGAAGTCAGCATTTCCATCTGAGAACGATGAAGATAAAGCATGCTCAATACACACCTGCTTGATAATTCCTTGGACGGTGTCCTGAACGGTCAACGGAGCTTTCTCTAATCCAATAAATTGCGCATTGCGACTACCCATGTCTGTTTGGACAAGTCTGGTCAAGGTTAGTGTCCACAAAGCTCCCCTAAATATACCGGAAAAGAAGAAGAGGTACAGGGCTAGAACCTACCCAGGGTCGACTAATAAAGCGATCAACTTCGGGTTCTCTGCCTCAATTTTCCTGACCAGGTAATTGCCCGCCACCTTGGACATGCCATAAGCTGTGGCCATGGAGGGGATGCGTTCGATCTCATCAAGGCTTGCCAGTAACGTAGAGGTGTAGACGAACTTGGGCTGGCTGGCATTCAGCAACAATGGTGCTATAGCCCTGAACAGCCTCAGCGGTCCGAGGGTATTCACTTCGAAGTGGGAAAGTACGTCCTCATCCGTCATGTCCACCACCGGGCCCCAGTGGTTGCAAATCCCTGCATTGGCAAGGACAATGTCAATGTGTTCAATGTGATGCTTGGTTTGGAGTTCGGCAATGGCCTCAGCGGCGCTCGATGGGATGTCAAGGCTGAGCGGTACGAGAATCAATTGGGAGCCAGAGCCCTTTGGCAAAGAACGTAGCTCCTTGGTGTTCTCCTCTGAGACATTTCGAATGGCTGCAATGACCGTGGTGTCCGTCTCGCCAAGGTAGTGCGCTGCAAGGCCTTTCCCAATGCCTGTATGGTCGAGTTAGCTCAGGTACACGATCTCTACAATGTGTTCTTAATTCACCTCGATTGGCTCCTGTGATGAAAATAACCTGGCCCATCTTGAGATTCACCGAAGTTAAGTAATATTGGACCCGAGTAATTTACTTTTGTAACGACAAGTGTTCTCTCCAGATCACCCGTCAAGATTGGGAACCAAGACCGCATTTATACAGTATGAGCCAAGGAAAACCAATCTACTCCGAGTATATGCAGCCCCTCTATCGGCATTTTTGCCCGACGCGATCTAGACTAGGGGTGGGGGCCGGCAGCAAGTCCGCATCCCTTCACCGATGATTAAGCGGGGAGTGATGGTTGACATAGTTAACTAACTACACTAATACCATGCTGACAATTGGAAAAGACCCTGATGCCATTCACATCTTCACTCCACATCCCCACTTCCAATCTCCGTCATAATCAGTTCCGCTTCGGCGGCTACCGTCCTCAGGAGCTCCCCGAACCTCTCTGGAATGTTCTTCTACGCTGTAGAGTTTACACAAGATGTTACATATATGGGTTTCATGGGATTTTTGAGTTCCACGGCGATGCGGTCTAGCGCACAGGAAATGAATATATTCAAAATCCACTAAGAAGGAAAAGAAAAAAAAAGTATCAAGAGGCACCTACTAAATCGCAACCCCTCAGGACTCGAAAAATTTCTCGTCATTCGCATTGATCATATTACATAATGAAATCGTTGGTCAACCATCAAGACCTCTAGATGTATAAAAAGGCCAAACAGTTGTGATTATGAGCTTCCCAGACACTCTAGTCACTTGCGTTGAGATCTCTTTTTTGCTTGGATTTCACCTTCAGCGTAAAGCGATATCGCAAGAAAGATTCGGACCCAATCCTGCCATATTTGATCGCTGTTGGGTATCCCATGGACCATACCGGTGCATGGTCAGGAAGGACGAGGCTCCAGTATCAGGTGTTTGATGTGCAGACAGTTCGTGCCCTGACGCTTTGTTCTGGGATTTTCCAGTCTCGGACGGTTCAATATGGAATGGTTTGTTCTTGAGATATGCAAGGTACTTATTATCATATTCAGCAAACGTCAGAAAAATCTCGTGCCGATCCTGCAAAATAAGGGCTTGTCTACAATCAACTGTCAGAGTTATCGAGCTTTGATCGAGATTAAAAAGCAGACTTACATTTTGCCAATGTTGTTCTCTCCAGAGTCATTCATGAAAACCATTTGAGCGCTCTCCGGGTGACAGGCTTAACTCCAATGAGAGCATAAGCATTCTCCTCGCCGTCATCCAGATATTCACCCGTCCGAGCTTTGAACTGGCCTTGGTGAAATTGGCAATATAAACCCTTTTCGAGTAATTGTACAGTTGCAAGCCATGCAATCAAGGCAGCAAAACACGACGCGGCAACACCCCCGACTCCGAAGACCAAAACAAAAAACTGAGCTCTCTCCACCCCCCAACAAAGGGATAATTCCACCATGGTCTAGCATATATAGTCTTTCTTTGTGATTCTTGAGTGGAAATAAATTTGCATACTTGCACATACTGATCACGCCAAAAATGTCTTCTTGCGAGTCATCGCATCACAAGGAGCTACGGGATGCGCTCCGTGCAATTAAGAAAGATGTTGAGGGCCTTGAAACATATCAACTCGATTACAGTCAATTGAAGACTCACCAAATCTACGCCTCACCCATGGATCTGGACGAAAGCTCCAGCGTCAAGCCCAGATTTTTCAGGCCATGTGATGCTTCTTTGTTGATCCATCCTGATGCTACATACGACCAGACATGGTCAGCATATAGTGAATTTGATTCAATCGACCCAAGTTTCAGACGCCCTATCAACTGTGCGCGCTGGGTGATGAGTTATTTCTCTTCTTATATCGTTGCTAGTGCTATCTGTAGCAAAGACTTCATCCTCGACGAGTTATGGTCCGGTGTCAGGTAACTAGCCCCCTGAGTTGCCCGTCCCCGGTTTATTGAACTGGTCTTCTGACACTAGACAACAGTACTAGCGATGAGCCTTGGAGAGGCTTATGGGAAGATGAGTATCCTGAGTATGGGACCATCAAAGCCCATCAGGTCAAGGATCGTTCATCCCCGCACATGAAAGCCATGCTCTATAACAATCTGGATGGCAAGGATGGCGAGCTTCTGCGAGGAGAGATCTTGGTTGCTCTTCGATTGGTTCATACGCAAATGAGACGACGTTGCTTTTTCGAACATATGACTACCCCGGTAACCTTAGCCCCGCCTAGAAAAGTGAAGCAGAAGCTAAGCGAATACATAGGTTCTTCTTTTCTCCTTCATGGGGCCCCAACATGCTCGGGTCATTGAAGCATATTTCAGTGGCATCTCGTTTGTTATGCGAACAACTCCGCTGTTTGATCTCCGTAAGAAGGACGAGGCCTTAGTTAAAACCTTTGGGCAGTGGTACCTTGGAGAGCCGACGGGAAATACGAAACAGCTTTTGAAGCTGTGATTCTGCATTATGCGGCAGGCATAAGGAATATTCATGATGTGATGTAATAATGCATTTTGGGACACGGAATGACTCTGGGTGCTTTGGATGGAAGGGTTGGATTGGATTAGTTGGTCTGTTTGTTCTTCTGGGCTGTCTATAGGTGTAAAAAGGAAACGGTTACCATAATGCTCGCAGTCAGGGTTAGTTGAGATACTAGTAGATCGGTCGCACAAATGGAGTGCACGCCAATAGGCCAGTAGAAATTAACCATGGTCGCAATGCAGGTCAGCGAAAGGGGAGCTTTGAAGATACACGCCCATCGTGAGTTGTCGTTAACTTCGAAAAGACCCTTGCTGCGATAAAGTTACAATAATGATCATCATTCAAGCGTTGACACTAAGCTGGCCGGCCGATGTCATGCTCTAGATATGTCATCACCAGATAGTAAAGCATTCATCCACGGATAGCCATGCGCTCGATACGCATCAGCATGACTTCACCTCAACTAGACCAATGGGGAGCTGAGTACGACCTGAACTTGCAACGCATTGCGAAAATCCACTTTCTTCTCAAGGCCAATAGGGGGAGGTTCCTTAGCACTCGTCCCAAGAGAGAGGACGCGTTCTTCTCCATCATCGTTGTAGCTGTGGCTGGCCTTAGAACATGTACGACTGTGGATAACGGATAGTAAGCAACAACGTCATGTGCCTCAGACGACAGGGTAATGATAGGAGTACCAGGTCCGCTTCTTGAGTCAGTTATAATCGTCATCTTAACCTTTGGGCTGTCTTGGAGAGAGTCACTTTTGCGTTTGGATTATCTGTTCGTTCACCACTTGTAAAAGGCCAAAAGACTATACAGACGGCACCTGCATGTGCACGGGTCAAGCAAATATATAGCGGAATCTACACCATCCTGAATTCGTGGACATTGAAGTAGCCCAGATATATGGACGACATCTAAAATGATCGAATTTACCCATATTAAACATTGAAAAATAAGAGAAGGTCCAATGTGACGAACACTGAAACAAATTATATTTATATCTACTATGTAGTCAACATCCGAAATCCACCCTATATGTAGACCAATCACCGGGTTCTGTCCAGGATTGAACATTGATTCAGTCGAATAGGGCACAGTTATGTTCAGTCTCGTTAGATCTACCTATTGATAGGTTCCATGAGAGAGGAATGGTAGAACCCATCACCTGGGAACATACTATTGTTCCATTATGAGCTTTTGATGTCGTTCAACTCGTCGACAGAGACCCAATGAATGAGCACGAGCCCTAATAGATGCTACAGGTAGATAATGATAGGAATAGATTCTGAATCCCACACTCCAATACAGAACCGGCTATTTACCGTATGCTAAGTTTAGGAGAAGACACGCTGCTCACATACCCGGATCGCTCTTCGTTTCACTCAATTCCATTGCATACTCGTTCAACCTAGCAAGCCCCATTGACCACCGAATCTGTAAGCCCAAGACAAAGAAATGTTACACGCAAGTATTACCATCAGTAATTCATTACATAGTTTAACTCTGACTCATTTCGGGATCTAATCTGATCAAACGGTAGAAACGGATCTACGGGTACTTTTGACTCTTCAATACCACGATTGATATTTACCCGATTGAAAGCCAAAAACAATTAATTCAGCAAAGATTCATGGGCAAAGATTACAAGATGGATCGTGGGACCCAAGTTTTCAGACTCTACAATAAATCCCCGGTTCACATGCGGCATGTGATTTCTGGAAGATTCAATCTTGGATAAGCACTCTTCAGACGTCGGAACAGATCGGAGAACCTTAATTGTTTATCCCCCATCGAGTAATACCCCATTGAGTAATACCCCATATTTCCGATCATTCTAATCATAATCACGATTTGAATCTTTCCCGAATGCCGAAGAAGCATCCATGATGCCTTGTGCTTACCTAGGTTATTAGGGTTATTCTGTCCCTTTAAACTCGGGGGGACGGAGTGACTGATTGGCTGGTTGCCTAGTGGATGATCGACGTCAACGCTTTTTCAGGTGGTGTGATTCTTTTCTTATTCTCGAATCTCCAATCTTTTGGTTGCGATCATGAGATAGTACTAGTATTTACTACGATAGCTTCATAATGGGTACTTGGATATATTTTGATTCAATAAATGTCATCAAATTGTGCATAGATAGCATCACTGAGCATCATGATGAAATAATAAGTATAAGAAAGTAGAAAGACCACGTCAGTGGAAATCAATCATCGCTAAAGTAGAACAAAACAAATAACGCTAGTCAAATCAGTGCTGCTTCTGGTGACTCTGCTGCTTGGGACCTAAAACGTCTTCCAAAAATCCATTCCACAGCTCTTTTACAACACCGGGTTCCTTGGAGCCGTTCTGGGACTTCCAGAGCTCCTCGCCGATACGGGATTTGCCAACCGCCTCGGTTAGCGAGAACGGATCGATATCCACCGAGGTGTTGTCAACAACTTCGGCCATGGGGCTGACTGCGACATCGGCCCCGCCCCCGGAGATAGTGTGTACCTGGGGCTTCATGGGTGGGTTCGAGGGCTGGCTCGAGTTGTAGTTGGTGAAGACATCGGAAAGGATCGGAATCCGAGTATCGGCGGGGCGAACAGGGGCATCAATCTCGTCCATGGATGGCAGGTATGCAAAATCCACAGTGGATGAGTCATTAACGGCCTTCATGGCACGAGAAGTGTTGAATTGGCGGGTTGAAACAGATCTACAAGGGTGGGGAGAGTGATGTCAGCTTCGAGTCCTTTGTACCGAGGCAAGAGAGCAGTTCGAGATTAAGCACTTACTCCGCTGCAGAACTGCCATTGATTCTTCTCATGGCAATGCTGAAAGCACGGGATTGAAGGAAGTCATGGTTGGCAAGGCGCTCGACGAGCTGTATGGCAGCGAAGCGGTTAGTACGGGTTCAATGGGAAGCCATGCTCGAAGCATCAGGGATACGTACCTCACTCTGGCTGCCGCTGGCTCCCAGTTTCCTCTTGTGGCACTCCCTCTGGAGGTCTGCCAAGCTGCGAGTAGCGTACAAAGACGTACGGTCTTGAACGTTGACAGGCTGTGCAGAGTTGACACCGGTGATGTGCAGGCCCCGACGGAGGCAGGGTGTGGCAGTATGTTGCTGGGAGAGCACGCGAAGGGCGCGCAAAGAAGTAGAGCGAGGGGCTGCCATTGGGAAAAGAGTAGCGCGGTTGATGGGTGTTATATTCAAGAAAAGAATAAAGAAAGGGTGCTTTAAAGTTGTGGTGCCCGGAAGGGATGTGGGTATATAGATCCTATTCAAGTAGATCGAGGATGAGAAGATATAACGTAGAAAATAGGTGTAAGATGATTAAAAAGTAGGGAAAACACAAGAGGAATGCGAGAGTATTGAGTAGATGTACAGGAACTGTATGGAAGGGAGGGAAGGAATGCAGTCGAGGCGAGCTCAGTACTTGTACTTCTGAATGCTTGCAGGAACCGTTGGGGGGGAGAGTGAGCTATCCACTTTCACCCTTCCGGTGGACTCTCACGCAGACCGGGGCGGTCTGGGCCAAGTCGGCGGGTTGCTAATAGTAGTAACCCACTAAATTCCCCGACTAAATGGATCGATCGATGGTGTCGCCTGGGCGGGCAAAAAATGGGTATGTATTAGTGTAATTACCGAAACGCAACAGACTATTTTCTTGTTTCTCCAATAGTATTCAGATCTACTCGTCGCCGTTCCAGCAGATCTTCTCGCTTGAACAACTGTATCTCAATAAAAGAAAGAGGAAATGAAAAATGAAAAAAGAAAATAAAATCAAAAAGGAAAAGGAGGGTAGAGGTGGGGTAAAGTGCGAGATTAAAAAAAGTAATGATGGTCGGTTCCATACATTACATATCAGGTCTTCAGCAGGATAAGAGTCAAAGTATGGGGTATGGACACTCAACACATCCGTGGACCTCCAGGATCGGATGTACAAGCATGCATATTCCCCGGCGCTACGGGTGGTAAAACAGCCAATGGATCAGGCAATCCATGAATTTCGATGACTACGACTCGCTACGAAAGGTCAGTTGATGATCACGAAAACGCTTGCCCGTCTCCGAACCTGTGCCATTAAACATTGGTCAGCCCTGGTGCATCGAAGCTTGTTACGTCGGTGTGCCCTGAGGTTCCCCTCTCTTCCCTCGTGCTTCTGCCATATTTTTTTTTTTTTTTTTTTTTTTTAAATATAAAAGTATTTCTAACTGACTTTGGAACACATCGGATGGGTCTAGCGTGGTGTATAGAGACCAATCCAATCACTTCTTTTCTCTTTTCGAAACAGAAAACTCCCTGTCACCCACCTTAAACTCCACAGGTAGGTACTAGTTGTTACGATCTTCCAACTGTAGGACTGGACAGACTACGACTACTACTGCCCTCGCGAGGCACGCCAGATGGTGCTACGAGCAGTGATGAACTCATGAGTCGACGTGGGAGAGTCCTTGGACAAAATATGACACAGAGAAAGCGTAAGCAGGCGAACGAAAGTGGTAATACTAGTAATCGCAGCCCTACAATAGGACGGCACAACATTGGATACTCTCTATCCCAACCTATCTCATGTCGTATGCGGTATGTTCTGCATCCTCGTTTCGTCCGTCGTGCAGTGACGCAATTGATTCGTGAGGACAAATACCGCGGGGAAGTCAGTACTGCCCATACATACATACATAAATTACGAGTACTAGTATGATAAGCGGATCAATGACGAAGCCCTGGAGCTTCCATAATATTACCGAGTTGGGAAGATTCTTACCCTTTACAGGAAGAGTAAATGAATCCCGCCGTCCGCATGATTCATCGAAAGTCCGTCTTAATTTCTGATCCCGCATTGTTCCTCTCAACTGTTGAGACTCAGGCGAGAAGCGGTGAAGTGGGGATCCAAGCGACCTTGTTGTCGATCGGAGTTGGCCCCATTTTCCGGCAGGCTTTTTGATTCCAGAATTAGTCTAAACGACACGACTATTATGGGGACATGACCAAAGCTGCTGTGTAAAGCATAGACTGGGATTCAAGGTACCGCGTTGAGGAGAAAACGGGTGGAAACATCGGGGCAGGATCGAAGGTACGCAGTAATTCGCAGTCTTGGAGGCAGTAGGATTAAACATACGCAGTATTTTAGGGGCTGGGATTAAAGATGCACTGCAGCATACGGAATGATCGACCCCTGGGCGACATGCCATCATTGGGGGAGGGTCACGAGAACAAGAAAGCATTCAATGCCTTGTAATTTGCTGATTGCATGAAGTAATCGATTTTGAGTCTAACCCAATTTCTTTTTTCTTATAGTTTATATTATGTTATTTGGTTTTTGTTTTGTTTCATTTCATTTTATTGGTTCCCATTTTGTTTCTTCAATTACTACCGAGGTATTTTTGTTTACTCCGGTCCCAAGTCGACTCGAGTCCTCACCTCATCAACTCATCATGATCATACACATCCCAGTCAACCTCGCTGTATGTAACCTTCCGCTTTCGGTTTTCGATGATGTGATCAATATAAGCATGATAAAACCTAGTATCTCATTCTTCATACCCTACAATATCATCTACTCTCACATTATTCCTTGCGCCTTTAATGCCTCTACTTGGAAGCTTACCTGGAAACAAGATAAGCACATGTATGGCCGAACCTACCTAATTATTACCTCGTGCCGTATTTGGCATCCCACGTATACTTTTGATATCTATGTCACCGCTGAATTGTTAAAACAACGACGATCGCACTTTAAGCATCCCGATAGCCAGTGATCTACCCCGATACAACTAGGCTGCTTTGGGTATATCTGCATCGTAGCTTAGTATCAAACCTACATGCCGTGATCAAGCAAGACTACTAGTATTATAGGCCGACGGGAAACCTAATCGAACCATCGTGTATCCACGCGAATCAAAGAGCTCGAAGATAAGCATTTCATATTTATTTAATTTTTTATTAGTGGGTCTATACACTTCTGCGGGTATCTCAGAGCTGTTCAGAGCTTGGAGACGTGCAACGAACGTCGCCCTTTGGCAATTTTTCGCGCATATGGGTGCTGACGGGATTCGGGAACCAGGTGGTCAATGTCGGCTGTGTGGACTAGATGTGGACCGGCTTCGTCTAGTGTGGTAATCCCGTTGTTGCGCATAGCTGTTTCTAACTCGTCCCTCATGACTAAGGTATGGTAAGCGATGGTGAGAGACAAAGCGTACAGGGAAAGAGACTCGTCACTTACTCTCTATCAAATGCTCGACACCCTCCTGACCATAGTTGGTGGCGAATAGCATACTGCGCCCCATACCCACTGCAGTTGCGCCCAAGCAGATAGCCTTCAAGATGTCGGTCCCGCGTCTGATTCCACTATCCACGTATATCTCCATCTTGTCAAAGATTTCAGGACAGCGCTTCTGCAGTTCGAGAAGTGTAATGATCGACGGAGGGCTAGTATCAAGGTTTCTCCCTCCATGATTGCTAAGTAGAATACCGTCGAGGCCGGCTTCCATGGCTAAAATGGCGTCGTCTGCAGACATCACGCCTTTGAGACAAACAGGAAGATGCGTATGCTGCCGCACCCACACCAAGTCCTCCCAGGTCAGTCCGGGGTCAATGAAACCGGCCATCACACGTCCTAGTCCACCACCTTTGTTATCATTCTTCGCTTTGGATGGGGCCATCGGTACGGATAAGCTTTCGTCGGCCTTGACACGTTCGTCTGCTTCTCTTTTACCCGGCCAAGCTGCATCAACCGTCACAAATATGGCCTTTACGTTAGGGTTTGCTGAGCATTGACGGAGAAGCGCGGCTGACTTTTCACGATCTCGGTTGACATATAATTGGAAAAAGAAGCTTGCCGAAGGTGCGGCGTCTCTAAGCTCTTCCATTGTGTAAGAGGAGTTATTGGAGATCTGATATACTCATTAGACGAGGAACAACCAATGGGGAAGTTTTCCCAGCTTACTCCCTGCATAATTCCTTGATTTCCACAAGCTCGAGCAATAGCGCACTCGCCATCGGGGTGAATAAGCTTCGCCATTGCTGCAGGACTCACGAATAATGGCAAGCTGCTGTCGACCCCGAGGATTTTAGTCTTCGTATCTACAGATCGGACATTCTTCAACACCCGTGGCCGGAACCAGATTCGGTCGAAGAAAGACTTATTGGCGTCCCGGGTAATAAGATCTGTTGCGGCGCTGGAGTAAAACGCCCATGTCTTTTTGCTGGCTGTCTTTGACGCCACCAGCTCAAAATCGTGCGAATTGATTAAGGTATGCAATGGAGGCTTCTCATGATCAAGGACTACTTTGGGGTTCTCGGCAGGTGGCTGCTTGATCCATTCGTCATCAATCGTGGACTCATCCAGCACACCCATATGCTTTTCTTGGGGCAAGTTCGTTGCCAGAACGCTTGGGGCATGAACTTCCGAATAGGCCTTGGTAGCATCGCGGCCTGCGTATTTCAGGATAACTGCACGATTAAGGTGACTGTGTTAATAATCGTAGCGTTCAAGTACGGATGTGTGCCTCACTCGAAGATCCTCCAGGATGTTCTTCCAAGAATTCTGTCACATCCCACACCTGATTGTCGACAACAATCCAGCAATCCTGCACGGCATTGTGCTCTGAGATTTGCCGAACAGATAGAAGTTTCTTGTCTGCCATCTTGGAAACAACGTGTAGGTTGAACGATGAATGCTGACGATCTTTCAAAATGGCAGAAAAGAGGCGATTTAATGTTCAGATGATAGAAGTTCAGCTTTGCGCAATGCTTACATATAAGTATATATAGTTAAAACCTATATAAAACGGGGAAACGCCGAAGTAGAGAACAAACTAAATTGTTATCGATGGTGTAGAATCAGCGGTAATAGAGACAGACCTCCGCAGATCCATCACAAAAATGCGGAGAATGTAACAATTGCAAGGCTCCACAGCGGCCATCGTCCCGAACGCCCGGGCTAGAAGAGCCCGACCTTAGCACATGGTACAGCTTCGTGTATGTATACAGGTACGGAGAAAGTCCCTTGTAGCCCAAGCATGAGCAAAATGCATGGGATTTTGCACTGTCAATCTCCTATGAAGACAACACATCGCAATGAGTAAGTTGGTACCTCCATATTCCCTAAGGAACAAGAAAGGTGACGGAATCCAATGAGGAATAATGAATTAACGAGAGAATCGGAGGAGCACCGAGATCAATCCCTGATTCGGACACTTCTCCGCAACAATCTACTATCAAATGACTCAGCATTTTCACTAGCCACGGAGGCGCAGCATTCATGTGGCTGATGGTGGGCTGTTGCCAAGAGGTCCACCACTGAAATTGTCTCGCGGATATCGATAGGCACGGGGACTGTTTCAATACAGAAGCTGTGAGGGCAACAGGAAAAGGTATCGTTGTTTTCAGATGCGTGTGGCTTTTGGCGTAGAAAACTTTTCCAGGATACTTGGGAATAGTAATACAGCCTTCTCGGGTTGTGTAAGATTCAGAGGAACCTGCACCGCTTTTTCCTTGCCTCGTTTTTGCCAGCAGCATAGTGGAGGTATGTTCAACACTGCCCAATACCTACATGTGTCCTGCTCCGGTCAAGGCTGAGTAGATTGTCGGTTGCTGTACCTATAACTCACTTGGATGCACAGTACTTTGCAGTAGACCTTTTTTGTCACAGCCTTCTCGCTGTTCTACTCGGAGCAAAAGAGCATTCTCTACAGACACAACCAAATATTTAGCTGCGGCCAATATGGGTGACACCAGTAAACCCTTAAAATATGTCGACGTGAGTTTCCTTTCTATTTTATATATCAGCGTCTCGGTAGCTGATAAGGAGGAAACCTTCGTGTAACCAGATTGGGATCAATTTTAGTGATCCTGTTTTCAGGGGAGAGTACCATGGAAAGCAGGTTCATGAAAGTGACTTGGACGACATCATCCAGCGTGCTCGCGAAGTAGGCTGCGAAAAGTTCATGGTTACGGGTTCGGATGTGGAAGAGTCCCGACGTGCTATCGAAATTGCCCAGAATTATCGTAAGTAGTACTGCTTGCTATATTTTTCTCAACTCATGTAACTCATCTAGCTTAACAATGCCTGGTCCTAACTGACAAGTTCTTGAACAGCGGGATTTTGCTATGCCACAGTTGGTGTTCATCCCTGCCAGGCCAAACTGTTCGATGAGTTTCCGGGTGGTCCGTCGAAGATGCTGGACGAACTGAGGTCCCTTGCACTAGAATCGAAAAACTCTGGATACGCAGTTGCGTTCGGTGAAATAGGTCTCGATTATGACCGACTATTCCTGAGCGCAAAAGAACCTCAATTAAAATATTTCGAAGCCCAGCTGGATCTCGCAGTAGAGATACAACTGCCCCTCTTCCTCCATTCCCGGGCTGCTAGCGAGGACTTTGAGCGGTTACTGGCACCCAGGCTTGAGAAGCTTCCCAAGAAGGGTCTCGTTCACAGTTTTACCGGAACTATGGAGGAGATGAAACGCATGGTTGCCCTCGGTTTGGACGTCGGTGTCAACGGTTGCAGCTTAAAGACGGAGGAGAACCTGGAGGTGGTGAAGGCTCTACCTCTGGAACGACTTCAAATAGAAACGGATGGCCCGTGGGTATGCAAACAGCCTGTTTCCCTACCATTCGTTTGGAATTCATTGTTGACGGTGCTTCCTTATAGTGCGAAATCCGCCCGTCTCACGCATCCTCCAAATACCTAGAAGGTGCACCGACACTACCGAAGGCTGTCAAGAAGGAGAAGTGGCAAAAGGGTTGTATGGTTAAGGGTCGCAACGAGCCTATTGCTATCGCCCATGTCGCCCACGTCATTGCCATGGTTAAGGGAATCACTGTTGAGGAAGTTTGCGAAGCGTGAGTATTTCCCAAATCAACCGGCCTCCCAACCATAGATGCTAATCCCTCGCGTTCTAGTGCCTGGAACAATTCAATTAGAATGTTTGGACTTGGAGAAGGAACATCGTAGCTCGGTCCCTATCTTTTCCAAACAGAGCGCTTTATTCATGCTTGACTTTGAACTTTTCTTGATAGCCCAATAGACACAGACCTCGGACATCCCTTGCCAGTCTTGCTTTGCTGTGATCATGATAGATAGATGAGTCTGGAATTTGTCGTTACTTTACGGATCCCCGGATCTCCCCGAAAAGGCCCAAGGCCCCAACCATGGTTCGAGAGGGCTTTCAGGGCTGCACCTGGATCTGGAGCCGCCTATTGAGCACGAAACAAGCGAAAACTTAGAACTGATGACCACTTAACTCCACGGCGTTGCTTCGGAATTAGGAGTATAACATGGGACCTGCAGACGCTCTTTGTTCTCCAAGAGTCCAAGCTTCCCGTCACAGAAGTGGATAGTCATACACTTTGTCCTTCAATAAATCTGTCGCCCATTATTATTTCCCTGCAAAACTGGGGCTTATTTGTTCTTTTCATTAAAGCCGGCTGCTTCCTGGTAGTGGACTTTGACGGCAAAGGTCTACAAGAGCAACTTTTCTGCTCCTTCTTTTTTCCATCAGCTCACCGCCCCGAAGCTGCAAAAGTGCAACAGTTGTTTCTTTCTCCACTCCCCCAGACTGTTGGATTACTGTCTCAAAAACTCCCTTGTTTCTTGCTCGTCCTAGCCTAACAGCTCTTTCGACTTTAAACTCGTCAAAATGTTTGTCACTCAAAGATCTTCGCCTGTCTGAAACTCCTGAGACAGACTTCATCAAGTCTCTCCCAAGTTTTATAGACCACCCCGTTATTTTTTGCTGGACGACTTCTCAGCACTTTCCAGGCTGGGAATAGGCCTCTCCTCCGCTTCAAACTGGTTGGAACACTAGAGGGTCTTGTTTACTGTCCTTGCGTGCCGAGCACCTCCGCCCGGGAACGTCGGCCCCTTCTATACTCGAAGGTCTTTGAGGCATACAGCGATCTGCTGCGTTATTCAATAGCCATGGCTAACATGGCCATGGTTATTCCCCTGGCGCAGAACACCTCCAGCAGCTCTCTTGTCGGTCAAAATGGTGAGAATCTTTCTATTGATACAACGAGGGTTTTCTAGCGAAGCCCACATTCTGTATTGCTTTCGAGCTGACGTACGTCAGGTTGTGTGACAGAAAGAGCACGCCTTAAAGGCTCATTGGCAGAATCCGAGCGAATGTACCCTGAGTTACCCCCGAATTTTGGGGAGGTTGTCGAAGGAATCTATCGCAGCGCATTTCCCAGCCCTTGGAATCTTCCCGCGCTCGAGAACCTGGGTCTCAAGACTATAATGTCAGTGGCATTTCTATGCGTCGCGTAGATCATGTGTTAACATGCTACATAGCACTCTCGTCGAGGAACCGTACGGTGTGAGTCATATGAGTTTTCTTCGCGAGAACGGGATCGCGCACTTTCGCGTTATCGTTCAAGCAAACAAGGATCCCGAAGAGAAGACCCCTGATCATGTAATCAATGGTATCCTTGAAATTCTCCTCAACAAGGCCAATCATCCGATTCTTATTCATTGCAACAAGGGAAAGGTATGTGGCGGGTCCTTTGTGTTACAGTACCTGCTCTAATTGATCATGTATAGCATCGCACTGGCTGCGTAGTAGCTTGCTTCCGAAAGGTTCAAGGTTGGAACTTGCGCGAAGTCATTGACGAGTATTTAAACTACTCTTGGCCAAAGTCAAGAGCTCTGGATGAAAGGTTTATCGAAGCGTTCGACGCAACCAAACTCGACCAGGTGGCTAAGGATTCTGGTGCCAAATTGTGGAAACCTATCGGTAACCAGAGAAATCCAGAGCCCTATGTGTTGCCCTCCACATTTTGACAGGTAGCTCAGTTGCCCGAACCTGTTAACCAGCACGACTTATGACACCTGCTACCCCGAGAAAGAGATCTACGGAATTTTTATACAAAGATCAATGCATTTACATGGAATAAAGAGCGCGAGTTTTAAGGGTTATTGTGCCTTAATAGAGCAGCTGCTTTATACTCTTGCTATATCTGATGTTCCTTTCACTTGAAACTTGCCGGTCAACCCCTGGCGTTCAATTTTCCGAGTATGCTGGACTTGCTTCTCACACATGTGGCGTTTTCTATTGCTTTTTCATGCCACATGTGTTCACCATGATCATTCGATGTCTGAGCCGGGAAATGCCATGTGTACTACTGTACTCACATGGAGTGGATATGTCCACAATATGCACCTGCTGCTAACAACATGTGGATCCTGAGATAACGGATTTCGGGTTGCCGATTGCTTCTTCCTTTCTGGTATATAAATAGGGTATTATTGTAAATAATCACAACCTTGCTTGTCTTGTTCCATCTTTCACTGTCCTCTAATAGTTCACGTAGACTCGCCATATAATATATAGGATAAACCTTACACTGACAGGCCAAGTTAGGAAGCCATCACAACTGGTCACCCAACATATCATCGCTTTCTCTACCATAAGGCCCCTCGGCATCGATGACAGAGGATATACATGAAATAGGCAATGAAGTTAATACATAATCATCGAAATGATCTGACACAAGCATTTCATCGTCGCTTAGTGGATCTACGTAAAATGAGTTGCCTGTCGAACCACATTGCCTGCCGTGGTCGGTTTCCCAGGAGGAATTTGGCGTTGTATGGCTATACTCCAGGCAATCAAATTCACTTTTCTGACTTTCCATTATATCGGAGTAAACCGAAGTGTTTTCCTCATGCCACATTAAAGTGCTTGTTTCGTCTGGTTTGTATACTTCAATATCTCCATTTGTGCCTAGATAACAGTCTGATGTTTGTGTTTCGTCGATGTCCCAGTCGTCGTGGAATTGGATGTTCTCTTCGATGTGTTCTTTGGTTGCGGTGTATCTCTGAAGCAGCGAAACGCTGCATGGCCTAGGAGTAGGCCATAATGGGCTTAGCTTTCGCGAAGCTTCAGGCTTATAGAGTTTCTTTTGGGCAATGCACCAAAGGGAGGTCATTATTGTGGTTTTCAGATCCAGAACCTCAGGAAGAGAAGATAAGCCGTCAAGTCGACGGCGTTGTAATTTCTCAAGGGCAGCGGCTTTATCTTGTAGCGATTTGTTTCGTGTAGACTTTAAGATAGAACAGATAGATTTGGCAATTAAAGGTATCAGTTGGGACCGTTCATCCATAGCCTATCAATGAATTGAGTCAGATATGTATAGACGGATACATAGAGATAACCAGTTTCTCACTTCGCGGTATCTAAGACTGAATACTGAAGGAGCAATTCGAGAAAGAGACTGCAAATCGCTCTTCTTCAGCGTTGGGTACTTGTAAATCCTGGGTGGATCGTCATGCACGAGGGTGCTGAATCCGACGTTGAACAAGGATATGAACTCCGAGACTTGGCAGGTGTCGTTGGCTAGTAGAATACTTGCAGGGGCAGAATCTTGAGAATGTTCAACAACTTTGTCGATGCGATAAGGTATTTCTATGTGCGGCGTGACCCCACAGTTCTCAGGCGCTGTAGATGATGAGATATATCGCAGGGGTTGACTGTGGCGACTATAGGTCATCGAGATATTAATTGTAGATATATGAAAAGCTGGAGTATATAAAGGAGGAACTGCATTGGTAAGGGACTTGGCCAAGGATGGACGTCTTGATGTTTCGGCTGTTACAGATCCTCCAGGCCTTCTGCGTAATCCGAACGATAAACGAAAAGTCGTAGAGGTGGTCTTTTCGGTCCAATGGTCACAGTTTTTGAAAAGAACTCCAAGACCTAATTCAAGCCAGCACTATGTAAGTTGTTAGATGAAAACTCGTTCGTCGCATCGAATCAATTTCTGGGGATACCTGAGAGTTGCATAGTGCGTCCCCAATTTGAGAGGTAAGGATTGACAATGGACGGCCCAAGTTGGATTCGGCGCTGACATGAACATTCAGTCTGAGCTCGGGCAGCTGGTCTACCCATATTGTACCTGAATATAGTACGTTCTTGAGGGTTTCCACGGATTGCAGTCCTGTAACCCCTGCAGGAACGAGCATATCCACTGAGGCTTGCAGGGCAAGATATAAGTCACATTTGGTAGAATAAAAGATATCCGACCCCATGTCGACCGTGTACGCCATTTTAGGCTCCCCTTACGGTGTGATTTATAACCCCCATGGTCGGAAGACGGCCATGCATTTCTAAAGGGTAGCGTGTGGGATACTTACTACTAGATCCCTGAGGTGGAAACACCTGACATGGTAGTACTAATGCAGATTGTATACACCGTACATAGAGTCTACGTAGTCTGTTGGCGGGATCTACTACTAGCTTGAACTATACTTACACGACACTTCATAAATTCTATGACAGTAACTGATGATATTCCCAAGTCAAAAGACCAGAAAACAAGAATATAAGAAGAAACAGAAGAAGGAAAACCAAGGAGAGACTAGTTTTGAAAAATCACTTCTGAAAAAAAATATAATTCATATGCAGGGAAACCGAGTAATATTAAGGAAACTTAAATCTATTGTCTATTGACGGTCTATTGACACTTGGATAATCATGCTGATTGGTTGGTGGCTATAAATAAGTGGCACTAAGTTGCACCGCTTATCGATAAGGATCTCACGTGAAGCTCGCATGATTACCTGTCCCAAAGCATCATCCATGTGAATTTAGGATGACAAGAAACCTCGCAAGCAGCAATGCCCAGGGATGAAGCTCAAGATCTGCTCCTGGTTGACCAGAATGGAATTGATAGGCTGGAATCTCAGTCCTTACTTCCAGGGTCTCCCAGTGAGGAGCGCGACGCGGTAACCCCTTTTGATACAGCTCCCCATTCCCCGGCCTCTTTTCCCATCCTGTCCGATGAAACACAGCACCAGCGGCAATCCTCGTTCGCTCAACCAGTGGCTGATGGCCAACGGCGGACTCCTCGCACCTTGAATCGCGTTAGATTTGACCTTGAAGACGACACGGAAGACGAGCATCGATCGAATGGCTATCCTCGACACTCGGAAGACTCGTGGCTAGAGGAGGAAGACTACGCCCGCGGGGACAATACTCGGTCAGGAAGGAGTGCCACAGGGCAGACGGTCCCTCTTCTGACAGATATAGAAGCCCCGAGTGTCACTCTCGCAACGTCCGAAGACTTCTTTCCCGAGGAGCACCTTGAGAATGCTAGGCCGAGAAGTGGAATGCGAATGGCCTTTATGAATATGGCGAACAGTATCATCGGAGCTGGTATCATCGGACAGCCTTATGCACTACGGCAGGCAGGAATGCTGATGGGCATAACACTCTTGGTTGTGCTTACAGTCGCAGTGGACTGGACCATTCGATTGATAGTGATCAACTCCAAATTGAGCGGCGCGGATTCATACCAGGCTACCATGCAACACTGTTTCGGGAAAAGTGGCCTCATTGCTATATCCATTGCTCAATGGGCCTTTGCGTTCGGCGGGATGATCGCATTCTGTATTATTGTTGGCGATACCATACCGCATGTACTCAGCTCATTGTTCCCTTCACTCCGAGATATGTCGTTTCTCTGGCTTCTTACCGACAGACGAGCAGTAATAGTCCTTCTTACCCTGGGGATTTCTTACCCATTGTCTCTATATCGGGATATAGCCAAGGTATGTTATCCTCCGGGGTGGAATAACTAAACCTAACAATTATACAGCTGGCCAAAGCGTCTACTTTAGCGCTACTGAGTATGGTGATCATTCTAGTCGCTGTGCTAACGCAGGGTTTTCGTGTTCCCTCGGAATCTCGGGGGGAGGTGAAAAGTCTGTTGTTTGTTAACTCCGGCTTCTTCCAGGCTGTTGGAGTAATATCTTTCGGTAGGTCTAAAATTGTGTATAATGGAACATCAGCCTTGGTGTACTAATTTTGCATAGCATTTGTCTGCCGTACGTAGTTACAAAGTCTATTGAATCCCGCTTAAAGACTGACAATGCCAAAGACCACAACAGCCTCCTCATATATGGCTCTCTGAAGAAGCCAACTTTGGATCGCTTTGCGAGGGTGACCCATTACTCCACCGGAGTTTCACTCACGATGTGCCTGATTATGGGCATCTCGGGCTTTCTTTTCTTCGGTTCCCAAACTCAAGGAAATGTGCTCAACAACTTCCCATCTGATAATATCATGGTCAATATAGCACGATTGTAAGTATCACACTATATAAACCTAGTAAGTTTCCAAACGAGCTGACTGTGGAAGCTGCCTTGGCTTGAACATGCTTACGACTTTGCCATTGGAGGCTTTTGTCTGCCGTGAAGTCATGACAACTTATTACTTTTCGGATGAGCCATTCAATATGAATCGGCACATAATTTTCACGTCGGCGCTGGTTGTGTCAGCCATGACCATGGCTTTGATTACCTGCGACCTTGGAGCGGTATTCGAACTCATCGGGGCAACAAGTGCCGCCGCTCTTGCATACATCTTTCCTCCTCTGTGTTATATTAAGCTAAGCAATGCCTCTCGGAAGGCTAAGATTCCCGCATATTTGTGCATTGTCTTTGGGATAACTGTCATGGGGGTTAGCCTACTGCAGGCAATTGCACAAATGATCAGGAGTAAGTGTTGATAAGTCTAAACTAAACCCTTTTGGAATGAGATACTGATTCTGGAAATGTACCATCATAGATGAGGGTGGTGCAGGTACATGCAGTGCTTAGCCAGGCTACTACTAAGCTTAACCTCCCATAGGTCTTTCCTCCAAAAGATAATAGACTTTTCTGCCCATAGCCTTACTTGGGCTGGTGTAAATAGATATTTTCAGCATTCAGCATATACAGTGTACTCTTATGTTCAAGACTTGTACTAGGAGAAGCAAACAATGTGAAGGAATATACTATCCAAAACAAACAGTATGTATATGTTTGGCTTCACGGGACTTCACTCTTTCCCGTTTCACTCTGCGTTTGCATCCAACTTTGGGTTGCCAGCAGCTCAAAACACTTCAGCTACTCTCTTTTTCCCCCACATCCTTCTTCTTTAACTCTTCATCCTCTCACTCTTGTTTGTATTTCTTTACATACTCGTGAGGTTCTTTGTTGTATGTCTCTTTCCTTTTCAATCGGGATAACACTGTCTACTATCGCATACATTCACTTTATTTTCTGCCTTTTGCTCTGCCTAATTTCATTCACTGAGAAGTCCACTACCCCTCATCTGCTACATTTTGCATATTTGTAGCCGCATCTGTTTACATATTGCATCACTTTCTTGCTTACATTGTTGGGACCAGATCAGTGAAAGATGGATCCTGAGAAAGCTGAGCGGCTTAGCCGGCTCCAGATGGTAAGTTTCTCTGTGAATCCTTGTGTTTGTGCGGCGATTGTTTACATATCATCCATCTTCATCTCACTTATAAATAATAGGAAGATTTGGGAACTGCCAGGAGGGAACACATCTCTACCACAGATAACAGGAAAGTTAAGAAGGCCCGTTTAGAAGATATCGAAGCCACTCGACTATCGAATCAGCCCGGGACAGAGGCTCAGCGTTTAGCTGAGCAGAATCGACAACAGCTCACCGAATGGAAAAGTAAGTGGCCGTATTGCCACACACACCCTCAGGCGCCTACAACCGCTCTTGCTAATGAATATAAAAGACGTGTTCAAAAAGCTAGGTGACACCCTTGACCTAGAAAATCTCGATGATCTCCTAAATGGCCAAAGTCACCGTCTTCAACTGAGAGCTGCTTTGCACGGATCTGGCAGTTATGACAGTGGTAGATCTTCAAAGACGACGGATAACTACCCTAAAATATCAGAAGCTTTACACTCGGCGTCTACTAGGGGTTCTAGAACACGAGGCCGAGGTGGCGGCATAGCTGGCACGAGAGGCCGTGGCGATGTGAGAGTAGTATCTAGCAGGTATGCTTCCATTATGTTACATATTTGATGGATAAAGCTAATACTACGAAGAACCCCGTCCGGTACTTCCGATCGTGCTCCTGCCTCTAAGCCAGGGCACCACGTACCTCAGCCTTCCGGCGTCCGCAAGACTTCACTAGACCCGGCTCTAGAAATAAATAGCAGTGGTTCTTCCGGGAAAGGTCGTGAGAAACAGGCCCAGAATAAGCCATTGTATCAGTCTGGGAAGAAGAGAGGGTGTAAGCAGTTACTCGCACGAGTCATACACAACACAACTAATCATGGTCCACATTTTAGATGACGAAAGGAGTCAAATGTCTGCTGTTGTCAAAACTAGACGGCCAATGTATGTCATAGGCTAATTCCATTTTCCTCTTTCTGACACCCGTCAGTAGGGACGGCTTACCACAGCTTCTTAGCCCTCCCGAGTGTTTTCTAGCAGAAGCTAGAAGATTACTCCAGGGTGCCTCAGAGGCCACACCTGCTGCTGCTACCCAGAATGACTCTAACCTCCATAGTGCTCCTTCAGCGGTGTCATCTCGTGAAAGTCGAATGGCACAATCCAGTACCACACGAAAGGCCGTACTGCCGAACACTAAAACTGTGGCCAGTCATGATGAGCCGGCATCAGTGACTACCCCTACAAAAACACCCCAAGAGGATCAAATGCCACAGCTGAGCACGACCCAAGTCACTGCTAAGCCAGTCATCAGTGATGCGATTAATCAAAATGCAGAATCTACTATCGTTAGCTCCGAAGCTACAAGCAAGGATCAGTCAGCTTCAGAAACCGATCCCAATAGAACTTCCTCGGAAGTTCTTCTTGATTTGAGCAGTACACCACCCACAAAGGTCTCATTTGCGAGCGATGATAATCTGGTAATGAGCCCTTCATTCCAAGAGCTGGAGGGCCTAGAATTTATGCAGAGCTTACCAAGCACCCCGGAAAGCATATCGTCCCATGTGTCCCAGATGCCCGAATGTGAGGATCCCTCAAAGAGTACAATTTCCGTCGAACGAAGCCCGGCTATTACTCAGGCAGATGAAGATGGACCCTATGACAAGTTTCAGCGTGATATAGAAATGCTTTGTAAGTTAATGGCGTCAACCTCGCTCTCGAACAAGCACCGTGAAAGCTTGGTGGAATGCAAAGCGGAGCTCGAGGCAAAACTCCAGAGTTTTCAGCGCACATCTACGCTAACTACAACATCCCCAGAGCCTTCAGCTGAAAGCGCTACCAGGGGAGAGAGTGACTTGAGTGGCTCACAAAATCGAAACAGTCCTAGTCTACTAAGCCGTCTTAATGTGACGGCGGCCCCGTTCGTTCCAAGCAGACCCGATATGTCACCCACCCCCACTCGAGCACGAGCTAGATCCGTGTCATTCGCGGTACACCCAGGCCATATATTCGGGGACCACCTGCTACCAGGTCGGCGTGAGCATCGGGCTGCAGTACACCCCAAGGAGACTCACATATTTGGTGATCACGTACTCCCTGGTAGACGTCAAGTGAGCGGTATGCCACCCTTTCCCCATCCCTGATGTATAGCATCAGATACTGAGATTGCGGCTTTTTAGAGTCAAGCAGCACTCAAATTAAGTTCAGTATCCCGAGAAAAACACCCGTGCTACCAAACTTGAAAATCCCGGGATTTGAAGGGCGTGAGGAGCCTGCTCTAGATTCACTCTACCCTCTTGGCGATACTCAACAGACACTTCTACATACAGGCCCAACAAACAAGGTTATCCGAAAATCCGGTGCACCTGAAGATCAATTGCAGCAGTCGATACATGCGCCGAAGGAGAATAAAACTCCAATGAATCTATCGGGTGCACAAGCTTTGGGTGGCCTTCAAGCTTCTATCTATGCAGTCCATGAGAAAAGCAAGCCAATCCGTTGATATGAAGGTCTCTCGGGGAATGATGAGCAATCTGAGTTGCTTGAAGTAAGTGTACTTCAGCCCACGGTCGGTTTGCCACTCTGTAAAAGTCTTTGTCTCCTTTCTAACTCGTTGACTTCATGTGCTCGGTTCTCTCTTTATTCTAGTTAGTGTTTACGTGACCTTGAGTCTTTCCTTCATCCCGTGAATCCTTTCTCTCCGCTATCTAAAAGTTTTGTTCTTTTCTTTCTTTACCTACAGTGTTGTTATTCCTCTGGGAGCAATTTCATGTATAGTACTGCGGGTCTGAAAGTCGTCCTTTGCATATTCATCATGCGGGCTACTGATCGTTCGATGCATTCATTGAGGTACATGCCTATATGGGCATAGTAATACACGAAAGTCTCCCTGACTGTACATTCGCTGATTTAATCTTCTAAGCAAGCTCCATATTTTCAGTTGTCATTTAAAAAATGCTAGTTGGAGGAAAAGTAATAGATATTCAATACTTGATTACGACCGATGGAGTGACTCCAATAGCCCTCGTCTTGTCCTTGTTTTGTTATCTTTTTGAAGACTCCATGGAAACTCCAGGCAGCGTCCATGCTCATGATTCATTTATTTTCATTTTTATTTTGACAGACTACGTATAGTATAAGCTATGTGGTTTTCGCAGGCAAGCCAGCCACATACTTGTCTAAGGAGACACGCCTCGAGCTAGTGTGCGCAGAATATAACGAAAATAACATCCATCAAGAACACTCATTACATTTGAACCCAGAGTTCCATTATCCGTTTCCCAATCCTGAACGCCTATGCCTTTGAACTACCGATGAGATGGCCTATAACGATGCGATGCCTGGACGATCTCCGCGTAACCATGGGTACTCTATTCATGTTGCCGTATAACTATACTGAATGCGATAAGGGTCCTATTGCTGTTGCTGTTGCTGCTGCTGTTGCTGTGGTACAGGTCCCTCGTTGATTTTCGGCCTCTTAGGGTCTATCGCACCACCGACGGGAGCAGGCCCGCTGTCGCCCAAGGTGGATGCATTAGTTACGTCACTCAGAGGTGGTCGTTTACCGTTTAGATTCTGTGGCCCGACGCCCCGGTTTGCAGCTGCAGCATTCGCAGCATTCCTGGGGTCGATGTTTGGTCTCGTTAACGGGCGGTAGGATGAGGTTGTCTGGCCTCGATTCATGGGACTGCCGATTCCGCCAGGGGCGCCGATTTTCCGATGCATATCTTGAGAAGGGTTGACGAAGTCACGGGTGTTATTGGGGACTGGGGATACGCCGGCAAGCATGGGTTTGGAAATCGGGACACTCTTGGTGTGGTCGACACCTGCTGTCTTGCGGATTGATGGGCTTTCTGCGTGGGGGTCGAATGCCGGGGCTGCATTAGCTTGTGGATTGTCCCGTAGGAGATCGACTGCTCGGGCTGAGAAAAATGAAGCGGATGGCATCGGTGAGCTTCCGGGTGGGAGCATGTCCTGGGGTCTGGGATCGTTGGGATTAGGAACTTGTTCCCGTTTAATGGGCACCTGACCACCTGCACTGGGCAAGGCTGTGTCCTGGTTAGGTCTTGGTTGGCCCGGTTGTATCCTTTCGCTTGGAAGGTTGTGTTGCGGGTTTTGAGCGGGTAAAGTAGGGTTTGGTCTGCCATTCAGAGCAGGGGGCGGTATCTGTCTAGGGGCAGCTGCCTGGTTGAGCGGTCGTTCTGGCTTGGATGGTGTGACAATGGCGGAGTTGGGTCTTGCTCCGGCTAAGGGATTATGTTGTTGAGGGCCCCTGTACGGGGCTGGGCCAGTTTGACGGTTCATAGGCGTTGGTGGCTGCTGGAATCTCTGCGTATCTGGGCCTATTACTATTTCATCTGGGTTTCCAGTTGCGGCGACTCCAAAGTCCGCTTCGTCAAATAGGTCACCTGCGATCGTTAGCAAATCGTGTACCAAGGTAGCTTGAGTTATCGTTGCATACTTCCAAACTCTCCATCAGCATCAAAGGCGGTGTCGGCTGAGCTATTGTTGCTCTTTCCAGCATTAGTCGGGCGAGGAGGGAGATCATCATCCTCCTGTATCGGCTTCCGCGGAACTGGTTCTTTCTTGATGGGTGCAAAATCAGGGTGTCTGTGAAGGTCATCCACATCCCATCTTGCCTGGGGGAATGTTAGTCTGAGCCTAGTCCGTTCAAATGCCATAAGGACACATACAGGTGCTGTCTTCACTTTCGTCACTTTCGATACGTAATCTTTATCATAAATGCAATTGCCCAGTACGTTGCCGAAATTCCTCAATGTACGTTTCAGGGCATCTGTGGTTCCTTCTTTCTTTGCTTTTTCGAAAGCCGCAGCTTTCCCTTTACAATTCTCAATGTGACCGTACCCGATGTCCTAATATCATTTAAGATGGTTAGTGTTGGGCACCTCAGAGACATATCATCCACGAAAGGACATACCTCATGGTAAGTCCCATCTTTCAGAGTCACCCTCACTACCACTGACAAACCCAAACTAATCTTCCCTGTATTTGGGCTTTCGTCAACCTGTTACAACGAGGGGTTTATCAGCTGTCCGATCTCGGGTAAACGCGACAAAGATATACTCTTATCAATAGAACATACGAAATCGATCTGGATTTGTTGTATCGAACTCGACCACCCATTGAAGCCAAAGACCTCGTTGGCAAGGTTAATGCATTTGTCTGCAGCCAAATAATGGACTCTCTGTCCCGCGGCGCCTGGCCTAGAGGAGATGTATTCGGGGCCTAATTTCTTATCGAGCCGTGCTTGCAGTGTGGCGATCTCCCGTGCTGTATACTCGTTCATGCGGCGGGGACGTTCCTCGAAGGGGTTTGCTGATGTAGTATCGGCCGTGTTGGGCATCATGATGCATGTCGGGTTGCCTCGATGTTGGTCGCCAACACTAAGACGCGTTAGCTTAGATCGGGATTAACAGCGGCGGTAGCCTAGCACACTGGAGTGGCTCACGCGGGCATCATTAAGAGTTATATAAATGTTACACTAGTTAAGAAAGGGGATCATTGGAATACACCGATGCGTGTGGCGTACACAGTGGGAGATCATGACGATAGGCCGAAGGTCAGCAGCCCGACGCGTGACGGAATCTGGCTGTCGCGATACCACGTGATCCCATATATAGTACTATTTGTCGGGGGTTAGGCCCATGGATCCAAACCGACACAATCTTGGCTTTAATTGGTTAGATTGGTTTTCTCGTGGTATCAATGTTCTTCTTGCCATTACTATTCTTGATAAATATTTACTCCTGCCTGTGGCTGATACCTCCAACAAGAGCCACTCACTGGACTACGAGGCTTGCACTGGGCGTAAGGCCAAGGTCCTTTAGCGACTCCCCGTAGAATTCAGAATCGAAAACCTTTCTTGGGAAGGTCTGCAAGAAACTCTGAACGTCAATGCCATCCTCCTGCTTAAGAGCAGCAGCAACCTCGAACAGCGTGGTCGTGACAGGAAGCGTTTTCATAATGTTTCCTTTAGAAGTTTGGAATCTCAGACGAGTTTCAGTGTAGGCAGATGCGGGCTTTGAAGTGGAAGGGCCCGAGCTTGTGGCCAGTGGAGCAGAAGCTGGTTCAGCTGGAGGTGCGACACCCGCTCGTTCTGCGCGCTCCCGCTCAGCCTTCCGTCGCCGCTCTTCTTTATCAGCCTCAATCTTCGCCTTGACACGTCGTTTCGCTTCGATGTCTGCCAGCTTCTCCTGTTTCTTCTTCTCTGCTTCCTTCATCATTTGCTTCCTCTGGAGCTCCTCCTTCACATCTTGGGATTCTTTAGTGCTCTTTCGTCGGATTTCCTATACGCGAAGTGGTTAGTAGATACACCTCCAAATGTAATCCAGAGTGGCGCATTTACTTCATTTCTCTTCTGGTCAATCTTATCCTGCTCAGACTGCACCGATCGCTTCGCTGCCAGCCTTTGTCTGAGCTCCTCCAGCTTTGCTTTCTTTTCCTCCTCCGTGAGAGGCTTGAGTTCCTCCGTAGATTCAGAGAAATCAACATGTTGAGACTTGGAGGCGTGGAATTCCGCTTGTGCATGGCTTCGGAATTTCTTTCCACAGTCATTGCAGACCAGGCTCCTAGCTTCCTCGCCTGGTTGAAGCTGAGGGCCCTCTTCCTCATCATCATTATTGGCATCGGCCTTTATCTCCTCTAAAGATTTGTCTTGGTTCGCTTCGAGCCATTCTAAAGCACCCTGGACTGAGAAAGAAAAGCACGTTGTTAGTGGATACTTGGAGAGCAACCAGTGGTAGTATGGCGGAACACCTACGACCACCGCTCTTGGTAACGGCCAACTCGGCTCGTTCCTTATCGAAGCCCATTTCAATGAGCTGGTCCAAATCGGAGGGAGCATGGTAGTGTCGTGGCAAGAGTTATAGAGAGGTGTAGAGAGATTCGAAGTGGGATTGAGTATGGATGGGATCGGTTGGAGAAGTGGGGCAGAACAAGGTACTACAAGGTCGTCGTTATGTAGTGTGAGTGTGCCGACGTATGAGCGGAAACAGACAACTCAATATGCTCAGTATTCCAAGAGAAATAGGGGAATAATGACGATTTTCGAGAGTTATCCAAATTGATGTTTGGGTGGAAGCTGTAGTAAAGAAAGGTGTTCAAGTGACGTACTTAGCGGAACACTTTGACTGTTATTAATCACCGTCGATACGGTACTGTATGTACAGACATAGTACCACAATACCATTGTTCAGCTCTATGGATATCTTCTTGACCGACTAAATAGACCGATATTCCTTTATGCTTTATAATGCTCGATATAACTAATGTTTTTCATACATCTGGGGCTCATCACCAGGTGAGGATATTGTCAGAGCAGAATCCAGCGGTAGCGTAATGGTCGAGACCGTGGACAATCTAGGAACTCTTATGAATTTAACAGAACCCAATCTACTCCGCACAAATCTGGCAAATTAGGCATTGCTACGGCTGGTAGGGGCATGTCCTTCTCGTATCGAGGATTAACTCAAATGATTAAGC